AAATTTTCCGCATCTCTTCAGCTGTTTCTTTGTCCTTTTCAAGTTTTTTTGCCTTGTTTTGGTAATCAGTCTGGAACTCTTGCTCAGCCGCTTCCCATTTTTATATAACTTCTTCAAGGGCTAAATCGAGCTCCGAATCTTCGGGAGATATCCCAATGCCGTTTTGAATTTCGCGTTGTCGCTTCGTTGCTTTTTTCTCGAGGATTCCATAACGATCCCGGACAGCTCTCTGAGAAACTGTAAATCCTGGATGTGTGTCAAGATTCTGGGCAGTTAGGCTCCATGCTGAGCCACGCTCTTTAGAACCAGGATTGAATATAAAGGGATTATTTGTTAGGATTTCTCTCACCAACATGAGGTCCTTTAGTTCTGTCCACTCCATCTACGAGTAAAACATAAACTATATTTGAAAAATATCCCGACGAAATCAAGCCTTATAGCATTAAAGCTTTTCTAATAATAGACACACCGCTTTTGAAATTATTATCGTGAAAAATTACAAACTATCAAACTTATAAGAGTCCTTCTGCCATGGCATATGAAAGACAGAAATTGTTTTCATGTTATATGAGTAATGTGAAAGCGATCAATTGCAATCGATTGTATACTCATTTTTGTCAGCTATTTTGATTCAAGTGTCGAAAAAAATACATGTTGCGAAGAACACAGTCATCTCGTGCGAGCGAGTATTTGTCGGCTTGTAAACTTGCTGATTTCCACACTAAATAAAAAATTAATTTGAGTGGATTAAAAAAGTTTCTGTATTAAATGGAAGATCAAGAGGAAAAAACTACAAAGATGACTTAATTCAAGCTATAAAAATCTACCGCTTATACATTGAGAAAATCGGAAAAGACAACTAAGTATTCCGTTGAATGAAAGCAACCTCTTCGCTGGAAGGTAGTTCGGCATACGAAAATAATTTTAAAATAAAAGAGCCTAATAATACTTGAAGAACATTATTTCAACCATAAAATCAGTCATTATGTAATTTTACCCAATTTCGAAATTGAATTAGTCGGAAAGTAAGCATAAAGGGATCAAAACAACAGAGTAAGTACTCACGTTCTCGTCACGAAGTGAAACACCACGTTCTCTCGTTCTCGACTTTGGGACAACGGCAAGTCACAACGTGTTGTACATGCGCAATGGGGACTCCAAAGAACTTTCACGTTTCCGGTTACCGTCGTGAGGCTGGCAACGTCTGTTGCTTAAGGTGCCTATTTCTCAAGACTAGCAGGATTAAGAAGTGTATTGTTTCAATGCCTTATTCTGTGGCCGTGTATGTTGTAAACGAAATTCAAAACATTGTTGTAGATCATGCTAAGCTCTGGTACTGGTCGCCCGAAATGGTGGATCAAATCAGAGTATTGACAAGGGTAGGTCCATCGCCTTAAAAGCAGACAAAGCCTTTTGATTCCCTAAGTTGATGTACCTTGATGGCAAGCAAACGTTTCAGGAATATTCAGCACTTCTGCAAGTAGTGAATTTCAGTTTTTCCAAAGTGAAATTCAGTTTTGCATTCGGTATCATCCATCACATCCAAATCTAATCAATCTACCATTCGCATGGAAATTCAGGATTCTTGGAGTAGCTTCCTTTGTACAATAGAATAAATTCATCGTCATCTATCATGCCGTCATTGTAACACTCCAAAAGAAGATTTCTTACGTCTTTAAAGGTGGCCATTGTAGAAGTGTTGGCATTGCTGTCTTGTGCGGGAATTGATTAATATCTTAAGTAATTTGTTTTGGCGGCCACGACGAGGTTCCACCCAGTCCTGCTCGTTGACCTCAATCCCTGTCCTAGCTTTCCATCCTCGTATCTTAAGTTTACTTTCAGCTGTATTATTTTTGATTCAATTCACAAATTCAGCCCCCACCTTCAATCAGAATCTTGCAACTACAATCGCAACTCCCCCCTTTTCATCCGTATAATTCAACATTATTTCACACCCATTTCTTTTTCCAGTTTATGAATTTGATTACCAACTGCATTTACATAATTAAACTTTGATTTCTACCATGCATTTGACTTGTCTACTCCACCCCACTAGTAACCTCTGGAGGTTACAGTATTAGCAATCATTTAAATGACTGGACCCCGGTGAACATAGTGAAAACACAACACAAGGGGTAACTCCATTATAGCATCCATTTAAATTGTTTATTCCTCAGTTTAAAGGGAGAATGCGAGTGAGGTTTCAGCCTCAGAATACAATGTAAAGTTGGGGCTAGAAACTAGACCTTAGATTCCGAGACCAGCTTCCATTATTCCATCAAAATAATTTTTACTCATGCAAACCTGAAGGAAAGCGATAATTAACTACGAAACAAATGACATATAGATAACATGGCTTGAAGACCATCAGTTAAAATGTACAGACAATTTAAAAACGTTTTAATACACTTCCAACATTGCAAGGCTATCTCATAATGTTGGCAATGTGTTAAAAAATTTTTGAGGTTCTGACCATGAATATCAAGAATCCACTGACAGCTGCAAAATGTTGTAATTCCTATTATTTTTTCTAAAGGACCCATTTAACAAACCTTTTTCGAAAATGATATAAAAGGGTTCTGTTTTAAAAAATTTGGACTAAAATGACAAAAAATGTAATGCGATCCATTGAATGGTTGTCATGCAAGAGGTCATGTATTTGGTACACTCCTTGCCAAGCTGAAAGATTGGCCTTGACCTTTTATGTGACAGCCATTCAACAGATCACTTTACATTTTTTGTCATTTTAGCCCGCACTACTTTCAAGCTGGACGCGCCACTTATGGCGGGCCAAGAACGAAACTTTGAGGAATTAAACAACAAGAATAAAGCTTAGAGCTGGACATGCCACTTATAGCGAGCCAAGATACAGAATAGGAGGAATTAAAATATAAGGATAAAGCTTTGAGATGATGTATATTATGATTTATTAGTTTATATGGCAGACCCCATGGCAGGACCAACCTCGTTCCCAGGGTCTCTCATCTTCCTGCCCCCTGGAGCGAGCGAGGAGAAACCCTGGTTTAGGCTGGTCACGTGTTTAGACAGCAAAAAAAAAACCTTAGGGACGAGTCGTTTGTTTGTTCGACTTTCTGCCTCTTATCCTTTGTCATCTTCAAATCGACGCTATCGTTGTTCAGGTCGCCACGTTTTATAGCAGCCTTCAAGTCGCTATATCTCGGAGTTGGTATTGTAACCTTAATTTAAAACCCAAACAAGTCCAGTGTTTAGAAGCGATATATTCGGGCAGAGATGTTGTGGCCGTTTTTAATACCAACGGGAGACGGTAAATCTTTGATTTTTCATCTTCTTAATTTTTCACTCCTCTTCGAGAAGTGAAACAGCCAACAACCTGTACCTTCCTTGTCATTTCGTCCAGTTGTTTATGTTGTTTCGCCTTTGAATACCTTTATTAAAGAACGAGCACCGGCAGCCGTAGGTTTTTTTGTGACTAAATTGAACAGTGGCACGTCAAATTATGTAAACAAAGGAAAGAGAACAGTTACACGCAATCGCGGGTGCATAGTTTTCCTCTTCTGAAGGAAATAGGTACTAGAAAAAGAGAGATCGGTTAGACGAGCACAAAAAAAAATTCTGTATGAATTTTCCTAGTCATGGACAACATCTTCGCAAACATATCTGACAGCGGTTGAGTCAATCGAAAGTAGCTCATTCTGAAAGAAATTTGTCACCTTTCGTAAAACTATCGAAGATACAGTTGTTTACCTCTTTTCCAGCCAAAGACTGCATTTGTGTTGGTGCTTTTACGAAATTTAGACCGCGACGGCTTCTCTCAGATTCCCTTGCATCATAGCCAGGGTGCGTGACACAGATTGTGATATTTCTGTACATCCCTTCACCGTTTCGATAAAACTCTGACTTTCACTGATCACCGTTTTGAAAGAAATAAAATTTTTTTCAAGCGTCTTTTCAAGGCCTACATAGTAGATGTGGAAAAAATTTTCTTGTCTCAACGACCGGCCATAAATGTCGCATAGAGCAAGATACGTCTTCAACTGATTTACAAAGCCTGCAACAATCGATATTTACCGTAGTGAAAGATTTACTGATCTTTTTGGGTGTCTGCGGAATATTCTCAGTTGACATTCGGTTCGAAGCGCTTTACGTGTAATTTGTTTTGATTGCGAATGAGCTACGCTCGCTATTGAACTAAGTGGAGAGAAAATTCCACTTATCTGCCTCTCCCTCAAACCGCTAATTTGAAACCTCCTAAAATCTGGGAGACACGTGCCAGCCTAAATCAGGATCTCTCCTCGCTCGCTCCAGGGGGCGGGAAGGTGAGAGACCCTGGGACCGAGGTTGTGGCAGGCCAAGAAAGAAACTTTGAGGAATTAAACTACAAGGATAAAGGTTAAACCTGAACATGCCACTTATAACAGGCCAAGATAGAGAAATGGAGGAATTAAAATACAAGGATAAAGCTTTAAGATGATGTATATCATGATTTGTAAGTATATATGGTAGACCTCTTCATGGTCCACTTAAGTTGACTTTCATTTTACCTCTGCGAAAAAGATGCGAAGTACTTTATTTCAACAGGGCACTTACTGTTAAGAGTAAAACGTAACAACATAGCAAGACATTAATAATTTCCATGGGATAAAAGGGCCATCTGCTAGCACACAAAATTAAAAGTGGGATTGTATCGTGTTAAAACGTACAAAGTTGCTGAGGTTCTATAATTTTTCATTGCTTTACAGGAAGGGGGGGGGTGACAATGGCCATCTAGGCGTATTTTGAACTCTTCGATTTTTCACAGAAAAAAGGGGCTATAGAAATTTTTGATATAATTTTTGAAAAAGGTCTGTTAAAAGGGTACTTTAGATAAAATGAGTTACAAAATTTAGCAACAGTCAGCAGATTCTCTACATTTATCGTCTGTGGTTCTTACATGGTCTTCACATTTTAACTGGTGGTATGATTGAATGAAACCTGTTGGCCCCATGGTATATCACAATTTCAAAACTGATCTAACCTACCCACTCTGATCTCAAAATTACTCTGTCTGTAAAACCATTCGTCTACTTGATTGACTAAGTATACTTCTGAAACTGGTTCAACCTGTCCCAGGTCAACTCTCCACCAAGGGTTGTAATCTCTGCCAGTGTGGGTACAGCTTCCAGTTTTCCAGTTTGGGTCACTTATACCATCAACTGCCCTGCTACTCACACCACCATACTGTACACTACTTTGATTTGTTTGTTTTCTAAATGCAAGATTATCTGAAATGATACATGCAAGTATGTTCATCAGAATCTGGTCACATATCTGTGGTCAAAAAAGATTTTGAAACTAAAGGTGTCACTAAAATTTAACATCCCTTTAAAAATTTGGCTACAAACATCCTGACACAGTACCAATCTCTGTGTTAAATGACATTCATGTACCTCGCAAATTGATTTCCACTTCACAGAGTTGAAGAAGTTGTTTCTTTACTGTTGATATCCCTATGTATCTGCCAGTTGTTAGTGGGTTGGTGAAACAAACAGCTGATGCCTTGAAGTTAACAAAACTGTAGAGTCCTTTACACTGAGGGTTCTTTGCTACTTGTGAGTTGCTACCTGATAGTTTAAAAAAAAAATAACAGTTCATCTCAATGTACTGCAAATAACAAATATACAATAAACTAATGTATACGTGCATTTGGTAAACATTAATTCTGTCTAAAATAAACTACTGTGACACTGTTTTTTATCCACTACCAAAGTTCCTCTCAGCTAGACTACAGAGGCTCCAGTTCGCTATGGCTAGTTTTGTCACTTGTAATATGTAAACAGTATATCTACCATTTTGGATCTTGGCTGGCTACCTATCCTGGAGCTAAGGGACTACTTGTTACTAAAACCTATTTTTAAAGCACTGTATTCTGATAACTGGCCCTCCCATTTAAATCTGCAAGTTGTTAAACCCGTTAGGAATCTTTATTCCAGTGTTGCTCCAAGGCTTTATGTTCCATTTGTACAAGGTGCCTTTCAGCATTCAGCAGCCATGACTTGAATGAATTGTCAGAAAATATAAGAAATTGCACAGATTTTAAAGAATACTGCAGGCTCTGCAAGGCACACGCTTTGTCTTCCTTGAAAAGACAAAAACCAACCACCAACCAGTACATTCTACATATTCACATTTCATGTATAGTTTTTATTACAATTGAGTTAGTCATTATAATTTAGTTTCAATATTAAATATTAGTATCGTAGGCCTTCACAGATGAAGAGCCACACCTTTTATGTGGATATACTGTGAATAAACCGTTATTATTATTATTATTACAATTATTATTATAATTATTATTATTACATGCATTTATTAATAATATAAATTTGTTTACCCCCTCATAACTGGGTTTTCGTAACCATGATTTCAAACTACAGGAAAATAAATTTTTCATGCATGCATATGTACACATAAATGAACCTCAACAATAAACAGAATTTATATCCATCATTATTGTTTGAAGCAACTAATTATGATGATTAATTTTAATAAGCAAAGGTTGTTAAGGGCTCGAATCGCTCTATTCAGAAGCAACAGAAACATTGAACTAAAAAAGCCAAATAACTCTCTCTACAACATTTTCCTTCATATTCATGTAATATTACTTGTACTAATATGTACTAAAATGATGTTTATTCAAACCTTTTTGCAGAGAACTGAATTACAGCTTTGTTACAATGAAATGTTGTTAAGGTTGAGAACAGACGTCGGCATTTCCTTAGGCGCCTCTGGCAGCCGCTTCAGTCTATATCGATCTCACCTTCCCACTCATCCCACCCCAGGGAAGGACATCCATCACACAGTAATCTCGTGCGTGGGAAATTAATGTCTCCTACCTCAACCCTGCAGGAGACGGGACCTGTGCATGTGTACTTGTGCATGATTAAACTGCTGCATAGAAATGGTTGAGATTGGGCATACAACTATCGTTTTCCGACCTTGCACAATGGAAATGCCTTTGTATAATACTTTTGTTGTACCCTTTTATCTTAATCTTATCCCATCTTGATTGTATGAAAAGTATAGAGACTTCTTACCCAATGTGATGCTATAGTTTTCACTTCTGGCCATCACATCAGGCAATGTTGAAAATCTGTTGACTATGAATATGTCAGAGACTGGCACCTCTGAACCCATGTCAACTCTCCACCAGCTTGGATTGTCTTGCTGAGTATGTGTACAGCCTCCATTTTTAAATTCAGTATCAGAATTACCATCCACTGCTTTCCCTGACACACCTGACACACCCAACTGAGTATTGTTGAATGTTGAAGACTGAATTGTGGCCTTGCCAAGGGCAACATTTACTGTGTAAAGACAGAAAAGAAAAAAAATATCAACTAAGGTTCTAGTTTTGTATCATCAGCCTGCTAAGATAAACCAGTGTTAGAGTTAATTGACTTATCCTTGCTGGATGAAATACATATAGTCTGAAGTTCTCAAAATTGTTAGAGTACATAAAAAGGAATAAGCTGATAGGATTTGTGTGCAGCCTGCATGTCAGTCCCCAGCATAGGAGCTAATTTTCCTCAAAAGATAATTTTGACCATGAAACTTTCTATACATTGGAATTATCTCCCTTTTTAGTTTCACTCTGCTGTAAATAAATTCTTTATTGGGAAATAGTGTGCAATCTTTGTTCCTGATACTACATATACAATTATGAATTTCAGTTATTGAACAAGGAAGCATGCATGGATACCACAACTGTCACCATTTATGAATTAACTTACAGTCTGGATAGAGATGTCTAGCATGTTAGGAATTGAGTGTGCAAAGAGAATATTCAACGTCATTTTTTATATATGGTTTTACATCATTGCATTAAATTACATCTGGTTTATGATTTCATGTCCTCTGTGTGTATCTATTTTTGATCTTTAAAATCACTCTCACACATCAGTTATGAAATGCCTGAAGCCTTCAATGAAGATGATATATAGAATGCAAAGCCTGAGTCATGAAAAGCACTCTTACTCTGATGAAACCAATTTTCATATATCTCATCATATATCATAAATATATTTGTTAAATATAAACTTATTTTTTACATAATCATTAAAAATTTTTTTTTTAAAATTTGACTTCTTAATTTTATGTGGCAAAAGGCAATGAGTAAAATAATAACCTGGTTTTCGCTTAACACCAGACACCTCCATTCTTAAACACCTAGCACCATAGTAAACATTTGGAAAGATTCGCAGGTAGCGTGCTCCAACACTTTCATAAAGAACATGTTTTACCTCTGAGGTCCTGTCATTATTTCCCTGAAAGGTCTGAAATCAAAAGTAACAACTTAAATAAAAAGTTGTAAGGATATTTTTAACCAAATGTAAGAAAGTATTTTCAAATTAACTTTCACAAGTTCGGTGACATTCAGTTTTGACAGCTAATGTTATTTTCAATTGGAAATCTAAAGAATCTCAGGGGTGGCCTAGGGAAAAAAGCTTTCCTCTGTATTTTTCCTCAACATAGTGACATGAAATCTGCCTCTATAATTTTCTTTATTGATTCAGAAATTAACATTCTCAGTCAGATCTAATCAGGAATGTGACTTCATTCTGGAAGAAATTTCAAAGGAAGAGGCATCTTAAGTTGAATTTTTATTTGCTTAAACTGAAAATATCAATAAAAGTAATGTGACATGATCTTTCAAATTTTACCTCAACTGTTCCACCTTCCTTGTAATCTGTCCAAGTTATACCATCTGTAGATAACTGTAGTGTGTAGTTCATAACCCACTGATCTTCTTGAGAATTCCCTTGTGTCGACACAGCACAGATGATATGAAATGTCTGTAGATCAATCTGTAAATATGGGTTAGTGTCACTTGTTCTTGCACACCATGATGATCCTGATGTGTAGTTCAGTCTACCATTCTTGGCTGGTGTGTTGGCACTTAGTTCAGATGAAGCAGTTATTCCACTGTCAGGAATTGCTCCATTTTCCATTCCCAGATCCAGATCAACACAGTCAGCTGAGGAGAAAGGAAAGACACTTCCAGGTGTTTCAGACGTCCCAAGTGGTTTATCACCATGGTAAACTCATACAAAGTAGGAATTATTGCTTAAATAATTTACATAGCATACATGGAGCGCAAATAACTGAATTAAAACATTACCAATTTGCCTAACAGCTATGTCAAAATTGTTAGCTTTAGAGTTACTCGAACCAAAGTGAACAGCTAAAGAACGATAGTACTTCTGCCTTTCGTCGTTAATATAATGCTTTAATGCATTATATTAACGACGAAATCAGTCATTCAAAATCGCTCAAAAAAAAATTTTTTTTTGAGGCAAAAGGACGACTATGCACCACAGGTAAAGTAATTCAACGTTTATTTATCAATGAGTTATGTGCATAGTCAGCAATATATCACTCTAGGTGAGGCAAACGGCAAATCTGGTACATTCACTATAAAACAACGGTCGGCTACACAAACAGATTAGAGAGATTTAGAAAGAGGACGGGAACGTCTGTTGACAATGGGGCGAGCAGCAAAAATACCGGTAAGAAACTGGGTCGAGAACGTCGCCGTTGTGATTTAACAGTAGGGACCTTAAGCATCGACGACGTTGGAAGTCACGGACGTTCGCCGGAAGTGAATTATCAGCTGTCGTTGGCTGTTGCTATGGATACACCGTCCGTCCCTGATGAAAGGTCACGTCGACAACGCAGGATCGCTTAGTTTAACGTCCTCTAGACCTATGTGAAGCTGCCTGCCTTGTCGCGTTTTTAAACTATGGAGAGCGAGCCGAATTAACCGCCGAACTTTGAAAGCCAGAAACGAGCAATTTTGAGGCTTTCTGGCAGAAAAAAAAACACTTCCAAACAAGTAATGAACTATTAAGCTTTATTCGAAGCTGATTTTTTTTGAAGACTGACTAATTAGCGAAAGATTCTAGAGGCAATATATTTGAACTACATATATAATGGCCATGTGAATGCCACAGGACCCGTTACCATAGAAACCCGAAACCACGGATATTTAAGATGGTAAGCCTGTGCTTTAACAGAAGATTATTTCACTAAAAATATACTAAGTGAACGGAAACACTAATTTTCTCTTTCTTCACCTTCGTATTTTTGCAGCAAATCTCCAGAAAAGGTTCAATTTTACGCAAATTTATCAGGCATGGTATTTAATTAAAAAATGAAGAAGCATCGACTATGCTCTGTTCTTTTGTTAAGTACGCAGGATGCAGCTAGAGCACGAAAGAAGTGTAGGGAAAAATACAAGACAGTCAAATGTTTCTCCCCACTTCTCGTGTACTCCAGCCGCTTCTTAAGTGCTTAACAACAGAACAGAGCACATTCAAGGCTCTTCCATTTGTTTCGTAAAAACTATTTTTGTGCAAGACAAATTCCTAAAGCGAGCAGAAGTATCGTCAACATATATAATACCCTAAGAGAATAGCTACAATACGCCAATCAGAATCCTCGTTAGAATGGTTCAAGTAATCTGATTGGTTGAACAAGACTGAAACTGCCAAGAATGTTAAACTATCAAAGTTTACAAAAAACCCAACAAAGTTCATAATTTGCAAACTGAAATAGTTAGGCGAGCCGAATTTAACACGCTTTATGCCACAAGTATTTGAGTCTTAATGCCGAATCTTAACGTGAAATGTTCATTGAAATCCGGTCGAAATTTTAATTTACTCATAATTTGCTCATAATTTGCTCATCAATTGGTTATAGCGCTGCACTGTTGTGCAGGAGGTCGAGGTCGATGGTTCGAGCCCCGGCCGGACCAACACTCAAGGTCTT